TGCTTTTTTCTTCTTGGGTTTGCAAATGTTGCCAGCATGTCTTGTGGCCTTTGTAATTCCTGTGGAAGTAGATCATAGTATCATAATAAAAAAACAGTTATTTGTAATTTTCACAATGCTGAAATTCGCATGGGCTCGCCTAGCCAGCAGTCCTAAGAGGAACTGCTGCACACTTAACAGCATTTTGACTAACTCACAAGTGTCTGGGACTGAACAAGGCAGTTGTGTGTACATATTCCAATTATACATGCTGGTACATTTTAAAAAATGCTCAAAGCTAATAAATCACATTGTAAATATCAGCATTATTCCCATTTGCCCAATAAATGCACAGCTCTAGTCATAAACCAAACCACACACATGCATCCCTAAGGTTAGTACCCCCAAATTAAGTGTGCAGATAAGTATTTTGTAAACATTAAATTACAATATTAGGTTTCAAACTCTGTTAACCCTGAAAGACATGATGGATTTAAAATGAACACTGCATTTCGTGTATATAGTCTTTCTAAATTAGGCAGTAGCAGTAAAACAGAGGCAGAAAGCAATTAGAGATTTAAGATACCTCTGTAAGCTCGTTGGTATGCTATTGCAGCAGCCTCAAATTCACCCACTTAAAAATGCTTTATTTACTGAGTTTCTCAGAAATAGGATCAATTATTTTTATTCCAATAAGCATTTGCTTTATTTAAATTTAAGTAAGATGTGTTTGTTACACATTTGTGCTGCCTTCATTTACTTTGTGATTACAACCAAGCCAAAGTCACAATGTAAAACAACAATTATTTTAACTATACTGTTTTTCGAAAAATTAAAGTGGGCTAGTACATGCATTGCTTCCCATCAGGACATTACAACAAAAATAAAGAGAAAGTGCATATTATATTAGTACAGGCTCAACTAGAGAAGATATAACTTGGTATAATGTTCAACACTTATGTCGCATGGAAGTGGTTTACCTGCTCATGGACCGGCTCCCATTGAATACCAGCAGCATGGCCGGATGGACCTGGTGTCGCGATGCTGGCCTGTGCTTCACTCTTCTCACCAATATCCATGGGAGGCTTTTAAAAAGAGCACATGTTAGGAATTCTTACTTTTACACCAACTGCAACAGTAGTTTACCTATAACAGAGGACAAGCATGCTTAATGAGTAGAAGAGAGGTAAATTTTCACCTGTACAAATGCTGACACATTGAAATGACTGGCACTTAGGTCGGAGGGAGCTGGGTCGGGTAAACTGATTGGATTTGCACTTTCAGGCTCTATATCCATGGCTTCCTGAAAGCAAGAATACCTATGCTATTCATTGATTTGCTCTTCAGCTAGGTATTCAAAGCAGTAAGCTAATGAGGTGGATAAAAATGACAGGGGAAAAGAGATGTGCACCTCTTGGAGTGTGGACTGCTCGTGGAGGCCTGCAGCTAAGTCAGGCGATTCAGGTGTGTAGAGGCTAGCTTGGAGGCCTTCATGAGAAGTTGCAGCAACCTGCTCAGGCGATTCAGGTGTGGAGAGACTAGCTTGGAGGCCTTCATGAGAAGTTGCAGCAATCTGATAGTAATATATGACTGCTAGTTAAAAATGCCTTCGTGAAAAACTGTTCAAAACAATACAGATAAAACGAGGCATTGAAACTGAAGGGTTGAGTCAATATAACTGTATTCATTCCCTCAGTTTCTGCATATTGCTTTACTTGCGTTGCATTGTACAAATACACATTAAATTCTAATATGCCAAGTGTGACCAGATTATTTTAATGTCAAGTGCATTCTTCAAGCACAACTCGACCTGTAAGCATAATATGATGATCAGGTAAAATGTTTACCTGAGCAAGCAGCAGCAAGCCTTCAGCACCACCTTGCATGAGCTGAGGGGAATCAAAGGATGATTCGGTGCTTGCTGAATCAGGTACTCTATCACCTTGTTGTACTGGATGTGGTAGCTGGGGGATTGAAGACTTTCAATATTACTATTGCAAATTGGATGAAAAAAGTAGAACAATAAACGAAATAACAATGGCACAGGTGTTGCGTCACTTCATACCAACATAAATTAAGCATTATGCATGATACAAGAGGCACTTACAAAACTTTTGCTTTTAATTACCACATTTATATCTAAATTTTCATATGCAAGTTATGGGCTACCTTAAGTGTTTTTGCATTGCAACAATTCGTGCACAAACTACTAACAGGTATGAATTGGTGCTGTTAATTTTTAACATGAGAATATAATTTTTGGTGACGTCAAAAAAAGGAAGCATGGATGAATACAACTGGTGCATGACAATTTGATTATTTATTTATTTGGTTATGTATTTATTTTGCAGTATAACATTTATTGTACGTCCATTCTTTTTTAAATTATTTGCCACTATAACGCTAGCGACATACATGTATCAAAAGCATATACCAGAAGGAGAAGAGCATAAATCAAAAATTTGATCGAAGATAAGGGAAATTGGTTCCAAAGTTCATTCATTCTCACCAAAAGAGTAGGAACTGCATGCTCTCGTAGGCGGACTTTGAACGCGGACGTGCGATCAAAATGCTCCTCTAAGAAATGCTTCGAACAAACATGAGCCTTCCTTGCAGGTTCCCGGCAAATATGTGGTGGCCAAATTGCTTCTATCCACTTTGTCCGACGAACGGCGTCTTTGGGAAACCTGATGATGAATGATTGCATGTGTTGCACAGTATACACGCAGCGTAACTAACATGTTAATTTATAAATGTACAGAAGAATTGCCACTATGCGCATCATATACACTACACTTTGGCGTCTACTCTACCGCATGCACCGAATAAGTAAATTTACTTACAAGTGGTAGGAGGTGGCTGGTACTTCTTGCGACCCGTGTGACTTGCATTCTGGCACACAACAGCTGGGCATTGTGGCTGTGACCGCGCACACAGCGAAGTGTGCAGTGGAGCTTTGAGGGACAGTACAAACGCAGCAAGACGTGCCGCTAATACTACTCGAAATCCTCCAGTGTGGTATACGCAATCATATCTTGCTTTCGTTGAGAAAGGAGGAATGCTGTGTGTCTTTACGGGCGCTTTTGGGACCGGGCGGGCATCCTTGAAGGGTCTGTTTGCGCGTGAATCACCCCTTACACACCACGCAAGGCGCTTAGCCGCCTCCCCGATAAGGGAAACAGAAACAAACGCCTCTCTTTCATACAACTGATTATCCCGAACTCCTTTTCCATCGCTTTCCGCCAGATGGCCGTACCCGCCATCCTTGGCGGTTGGCGCTGAGCTGTGTTCCAGATAAGGAAGACAGAAACGAGCGCCTTCTCTTTATTTTCCTCTAATGACTAGCCACTTATCCCGGAGTTATCTTCCCTCGCATTTGGCTGGCTTTCCCTGCCGTCCTTGACGGCTGTGTCGACGCCTGAAGCTTCCCGCAGACCTTTTCTCACGCATTCCTTCGGCTAACTTCCCACCTTTCGCCCTAACGCGATCCTGGTTTCCGTTCTCCGTAGCTACTAGTGCGTGTGAATCACACTGGAAAGTGATCTGAAAGAAGCTGTACAAATTTCGGTGCCTGGTTCGTCGCGCGGCAATGCCCGAAATATCATCTTTATTTTCACAAAGAACACATCAAATAAAAAAAAAGCTTAACGTGCAACTTGCCGTGTTTATCGTAAAAGCCGGCAGTGCAAGAGTACAACAGCCATACGCAGAGATTTTGTTGAACGTATCGCGGCAAGACAGCGTGTTGAAATCCGTTCCGTTGGTTTCGAATAGCACCGGCGCACGCGGCGCGCAGGCCACGTGCTTTTTGAGACAGGGGGGGAGTCGCGCCTTCTGCTTCGCATTCGTATGTAAACAAGAAAGGAGAATTTGCCTACTCAATATGGCCGACTTCCGGCTTCATCGCGGCTTCACAACGAGTGACGTCAGGGCCTCTCCTTACCTTTTCCTTCCTCCGTGGCTTTGCCGCTGTGACTTTGAGCAGCCAATGAGGGGCGACCGCCGGCAGAGTAATGAAAAAAAATATTCGGCCGGCGCCGGCAGAATAGACACTGCCATTTTATTATGACGCATTTACAACGGCAAATGTGAATCAGTTATGCTATGTAGGGGACGCCAATGATAAGGCAGTTTTAGAATACCGTTTGCAAGCGCTGCGGGCGTAGCGGGTGCCATATGATTTTGAGAATAGCGTTTGCCCTGCTGACAACCGCAACGCACGGTCGCAGTGACACCGTAGCCTTGAAACCAGCGCAAACATCGACTCGCGTTACGACGCATGTGCAGTGGCAGCGGCTGCACCGCGAGGGGTCACTGTGCACTATTCGAAAACTACTTAATAGCGAGTTTTAGTATAGCGTTCCGCGAGTCGTTGCGGTGCGGTTGCTGCCACTGCGAATGCGTCGTAACACGAGCCGCCGTTCGCGGCCCGCCCACAGAAAACCCGAAACAGCGGGCGGTGTGTGCGGCCCCCAAACACTGGTTTCGACGCTACGGTGTCGCTGCGATTGGGCGTTGCGGTTTGCTGGAGGGCAAACGCTATTCTAAAGCTCATATGACGGCAACGCCCGCAGCGCCTGCAAATGTTATTCTAAAGCTTCCGAATGTAGTTACAAAGTGGTAACGTTCCCGCTGCTCTCGGTTGTAGCGCACAATCACATGGTGTGGTTTGTTAGTGTGTGTTTGAATGCGGAAGTGCCGGAATTTGTAATGTCTATTTATGTGAATTTTTCTTTAAAACTTTCACCTGTTCAGGAAAATTCCAGATAGGGAATTCAATATTTTGAGTGTATTGTAGTATTGTGGCTCACGATAGCTTAATTAGTATAAGGTTCGAGCTCAACACATCAGCTGGTAAAATACCTACATGTGCACATGGCCAACTGTTAAAGTAGTTGTAATTCACACTTACCATATATAGTTGACTTTATTGATTTTTATCCAATTTATGTTTGTAAGGAATTTGACTACAACTGATTAATATTGACTCTATATCACTGTGTTTAATTGACATCACGCAGAACTATCTGTGCCTTCTTGAACACTGGGAGAGGTGGGACTATATTTCTGGGAATCCTTGACAATGGTGAAGTCAACGGTCTCCATCTCACAGAATACCAAGTGAGTCAGTGAAGGACTGTATATAGCCTATGAACCATTGCTTTTGCGAGATTGCAAAGCTTGCAGCAGGGCTCTGCACTACCTTTTTACTGCTTTGTCGTTCCAGAGGCAATGTAATTGCATGAGCTTGTTCACATGTGATAGTGAACGACTGGGTGTGTTGGTACTGCGTGATACGAAATAGAAGGTGCCAAGAAGACGGTGGATGAATAGAAGACACACAGAGAGCGCCACTTGTAATAATGTTTATTTCAAGAAAAATTAAAGATACTTATACAGACTGTCATATTTCATTGCTGCGCAGTCACATTGAGATATCGCAACTCTTTCCGAGATAAAAGTACGAAGGCCACATTAGCGCAATGATTCCCGGCTTTAATTATCTTTTTGTCTCAGTTATTAATTTGTTCCACTTGTCACGACTCTTGCCAATCACGGATCATGTGCAAAAAACCAGTACACACTTTCAATCTGTGTAATGTGTGGCAAGGTGATCCTAACATTGTTACAATCCTGTATGAGCCTGTCGTCAAGCATTGCTCAGTTTGGCCTACGTGCTTGGACAGAGGAATATCGTAGACCACACCAATCTGGCGTTCGGCATATTTACTTTCGTTGTTTATGATACAGGCTGTTGCTTTTTGAAGGCAAGAGTTTGTAATTTCGCAAAGTTTAGACATTTTGAAAGCTGCAGAGATGATCACCTTTACATCTGCTAGCTTAGCAATATTCAAGTTATGGGACACACTATGAACATACGGTAACATGGCTCTCTTTTTTTGTTTACACTAGTTGGCTCTCAGTCCACTTGGCGGGTTCGTTATTGATTTTTAAAGATTGTTTCAGTTACACAGCGCCTGTGTGTTCATGTCTTCTCTCTTGTCAGTGTGTTTGTGGAGACACTTCAGAGATTGCAAGTGTGTACCAGATTTTTGCAAAAGCTTTATGATTGCCATGAGTTGAGACAAGTAGAACAGATTATAATTGAGGCAAAAAAGAGATTGTTGCATGTGGCCTTCGTGTCTTTATTGCAGAAAAATTCGCAATATCTCTATGTGACTGTCCAGCTGTGAATTATGACAACACTGTCCACAGGAATAGCAACAGTTTTTCTTGGAATAAACTCTTCTGTAAATGGTGGCACCCTCTGTGTGTCCCCCTTTCCGTCCATCGTCTCCTTTGTGCCTTCTAATTCGAAAATTGTTCGGCTGGCCGAAGACGCTGCCAGGATTCAAGGCCTGGCCGCTGCCTGAGGAAGGGGGTTACAGAGGGGCCAGTCTCCCAGCCCCCCACCATCTTTGAAGCCAGCAGGAACAATTCGATAATGTTTCTTCTCTCTCTCTCTCGAAAATTGTTGCAATTGTAAAAATACCACAGTGAATAAACTGTCTCTACATGTGAGGCCATTGCTGTGTACATTGCTGTGTATCTGTGCTTATGTAAAGGAACTCTGTTTTGTGAGGCCACTTGAGACGTCACTAAATTTTACTGACCACGTACCAAGGGATTGTAAACTGCACTGTAAACATTTTTATGCATGCTTCTAGAGGGAAAAACAGTAAGGCGTTTCTGACATGATGTTCCCCATTCTTTTTTTTTTCCAGAAAGACCACTTGGCATTGAGTCTTGAAACCTTGATGCAGCGGTACAAGCCAGCTGTCCCAAAACACATGTACGAGCTGCGGTTTGTTCCAGTCATCTCTGAGGGTGTGCCATTGCCAACAAACGAAAGGTGCGATGCTCAATTTATGTTTTGTCATACGTAAGACATTGTTTTTTTTTTCTTTTTTTACATTATTTGATAGGCAGTGGAAGTGCTTGGCAGTTGAAAAGGGTCTCTACTCGTTCTTTGTTGGGTGCTAGTCAGGAGTCTTAAGTGGTAGTCACTGCAAAATATACTGCAAGTGTGACCACACTTGTTTGTCCTCCACTTATGGCAATAGTGAGTTATTTCTTGTTTAGCTCTATCCGTAACTTCAAATCTAAGCAAGTTTCCATCTTGGCATGTTGTCTTACTTGGTGCCCGATCCCGAGTAGTGCAGCACAATATCCAAGATAATGTGAAGATGTGTAATGCCATATTTTGTTTGTTTTTTTTTCTTGCCAATTAACCTGTTGCACTGAGACAAACATGCGCTCTTGTTTTTGCAGACGCGAGATGAACAGCAAGGAGAGGTTCAGGCCACACAAATTGCAGTGTTCGAAGCCATGCTGGTGTGACGATGAAGCTACTGCTCAGCTGAGTGTTGTAAGCCCCAGCCATGTTGCTACCCTGTGCACATTTTTTGGTTATTCTGCCTTTCGTAGTGGCTTCTATGAGAAAGTGCACATGATTGCGCATGTTATTTGGTGCTGGTTACTACGAGAACAATTGAAATGAAATGCTAATAAAGTATTTCAATTATTTCCTATGAAATCATTATACTGGCCGTCCAAACACTGTTAAACATGGAAAGTATGCTGGATCAAGTGTAGTAGGAGCTTTCATGGTTGGCATTAGCTCTACTGCAAAAGGACTAATAAGTGATGAAAACAACCCTGTCATGCCTATGTGACTTCATTTCTTTTAGCTTTGTGATCATAAGCACTACCATCACATAAAATACTGTGGAATTCGAAGCACATCCTTGACCTCTTAATGCATTACAGATGAAAAGTGAATTATTATTTACAAGCATATTCAGAGCCTAACAATCATCTTTTAGGTTGAGGGTGACAGCTTGGTGAAGGACACTCAAACTTGTGTAGATTTGTGGTTAAAATTACATATTTACATTCTATGCATCGGGGCGAGTCAAGCGAGGCCTCCTGGTGAATAAGCACCTCACCCCACTGAGCTAAGTCCTGAGCAAAGCCTATGTGCGTGGCAATACAAACAGGATTGATTTTTAAGAAAAGTGCTCATGTGTTTTTAAATGCAACGCGTAAATGTCTCACCAGAATGACCCTGACAATATTTTCTTCGGGTATATTGCATGTTATATATTTTGTTTATACTCAAGAGAAATTTAAATGACCACAGCATAAAATTAAAAACAAAGCTGTCCTCATTACGGTGGCATGTCGTCTAATCTTTAATGCTATAAGAATAGTTACTTCTCTATGTTGATGCAAGTGAAAACATCTGCTTTATGTTGGCCGCTGCACTTACAATTGTATTTTTTTGTATTTTAGCCATTACATTTATGTTATACTGCTAGTAAGTTTTTTATAGCGCTGTTTTTCCAGTCTGAATGTTATGCATTGGTTTGTGGCCTAGCCTACATGTATATTGTTCAATTTGCTATATTTCTTGCATTCATTGATTTTTTTGTCCTGCATAAACCAGGGCAGATCGGTGATGCGGTATGTTGTGGAGATTAAGCTATCTGCATGGGACAGTTCTGACCCGAGAAACAGTGGGTTGAATAAAAGCAAGATGGGCATCCACCCCATGTTTGACAACGAAGAGGATATCTGCTTTTTGCGCCGTCAGGGCAGCAACATTCGGGTAATTTCACATCTATGCCTTCACATCTGGCGACTTGAACTCACTCAGAGTGCTAACAGTTTTAAGTTGCTTGCTCTGAGGTTTATTTGAGACTACTAGATTTATTTACTTGGGAGGGTGTCGAGGCATGCTCATTAGAATACGTGGCACACAGTTCATTAGCATACATGGCACTTTACAAACTCACATACACAGCACAAGAACAAGGTGGGCGCTGTTCTTGCTCTTGCCCTATGTATTCTAATATATTTGTGCATCATTGTTAAACTTCAATGCCCTTGCACACTATGTTCCTTTTTTGAGAACTAGCAGATAACGTTGCTTATTATAAAGGCTGCTTAACATGTTTTGTGTGGTGGTTTTCGGCACAGTAAAAGGAGAAGTTGAAACGTCCACGGTGCAAGGAATTGTCATTGTTACTAGTACAACCTTTCTCTCGTTCTGCGTCAATGGAGTATTTACAAATAGTTTCAATATTGTATCAGTTGTACCACATGCGTTATGCACATTTCAATTTAATACAGAGCTTGACTATGAAATGCAGACCTGTCAGCATTACCATCATTGTGACGTATAACACATTGCAATAACATTTGCTGATCTCATCCAGAAGTATACCAAGCATGATGATGTTGCTAATCGATAAAATAATAATACTTAATGAGTGCTGTGGACATTTCTTCTTGCTTTTGCACTTGCCCACATCATCTGATACTAATCACAGGAAAAGAGCAAACCAGTGTATAATGACATCACGAAGGCCTTAATTTGGATACCACAGACTAAAATATGCTGTCTCCACCATTGCATGCAATTCTAGGCCTGTGTTCATAACTTGATGAAGACCTGTGCCTTCATTATATATAGCGGTCAAGTGCATGGAAAATGGAAGAAATGTCACAGTGTGTCATTATTTAGCTCTCAAAGCACGTGAAGTGGTTAGGCTTTGTTGTGAATAGAAATTTTTGCCGCATTTCTGGTCATAGTGGCTTGTTTTGAATACATGTGCTCATCACAGTGAATTAAGGGGGGATGCTACACCTTCCAAAAACTCTTTTATTTTTGCGAGTACCTCAGTCAAATTTGGAGAGCCTATGTAGACTTTACTGCTGATTTCAAAAATCTAATTCTTTTTTTGCTGTGACAATTAGTTTTAAAGATATAATGAACTGCGACTTTTTCAATTAAGGCCTAATTAGCTAATTAACTGTAACTTGGATATTGATGTGCAACCTATAGAACCAATTCGGTATGTTCACAGTGTGCAATAAAGTATAAATCATTGTTCTGGGCTATTTCGAAGCAAAGTTGTGGGATGTTGAATATGACATGAAAAATTTCCCCATCTACACTTGAAACAAAAGATCCATTTAGAGAATTTTCTCCAAAATTATTACAATAAAACTTACTTTACGACACATCCCCTGCATTTATCTTCGAAACAAAAAAGAAATCGTAATGATAACCCAGATAGAACAAGAGATATGCTCCGGCATAATGGGAAGCACATGAAAATTGTCATTTTGAGAAATCGAGAAAAAACGTGGGCACACATTTTTATTGCAGAAGATGCAACAAGACAACCTCAAAACGCACCAGAAGCATAGTCTGAATGCATTCTGTGCTCATGCCTCCTCTTCACTAGCTTCCGGAGTTCCAATGAGGCTGTTCTTTTCTTGTTGGAGACAATGCTGCGACGGTGGTCTTTTTCTCTCGCTCTCCTGGCACCAGTACTTGTCGCATTCATGTCCATTTCACCTAAGATTGCCGTTGCAGAATTCAAATTGCCCGTGTTGAAGCGCAGCACTGCTTCTGCAACAGCTGCTTCAACAGCGAACAGGGACGCATGGTGCTCCTTGGGGGCCAAACTCCAGATTACCGAATATAGGCTCTCGTTGGAGTTCTGCGTTTTGCCGCGTTCGCACCTCTGAAGCAGGGCTCTCTCCGAAAGCCGGGTATAAACCGGTAGTAATGCCTCTGCCACGTCTTTCGGTAGATTGTAGGCATGCCTGGGGTCGGGCTCACCCTTTGCTTTTGCGGCATTGTGCCGACACCATGAAGTTTTACCAGCTGGGCACAGACTGTGGTCCGAGCATTCATCAGTGGAGGTGACGTGGCGGTATGTGGCCATCACAGCCTTTTGCATCTCGCCCACGTCACCTTCATGCGATTTCAGAGCCCGGCCATAATATGTGCTCAGCCTGGTGATCAGCTCACCTGTGAGCCTGCCTTTCCCACCAAGGCCTCTTTTCCCATCGCACTTTTGTTTCTGCACCAGGTTTCTCAATGCGGTGCCCATCCGTTTCTGTACATGATTAATACAGTCTTCCTTCTGCACGTCAATGTAACCATACACCTTGGCGTCTTGTGTGGCGCAAAATGTCCTAGAGTCTCCATCAGACAGCATAGTTGTGTAGCGCAGGCCATGGCGTTCAAGCGACCTCTGAAATAGAATTAGAGCCGCCTCCACTTCCATTTGCCCCGCTTTGCTGTTCGTATTTTTTGGCATTTGTGGTTAGCCTTCCATTCTTGATAGCCCTCACTACTAGGCTTTGGGCCCACCTCGCAGCCTAGGCAAAAGTTGGAAAGAACGACGTAGTCCAACACGTAGCCACTAAATAATTCGATAACTGTGCCCACGCCGATGTGGGAAGAATGGCCTCGCGTCTTCCACGTGCCGTCGTAGCTAACGGCAATATTGCCCCGGTGGCCGAAGCACAAGTCATCATAAATTGTTCTAACCTTTTCCGCACATTCGCTCATAGCGGACTCAGCCGCTCGCGTTGCAGCGGGTGCCAGCGTGTTCTTCAAATGCCGCTGAAACGTCTTGTGGTGCATACCGCGGTGTGAGATGCCCATTGTTGCGAAAATATCGTTCATTTTCGTTTGGCCGTTGCCGGTAGCCACCATCGCCCTCGAAGCGAGAAGATTTACTTCAAACGGATTGCACGGTTTCGTGCCGTTCGCGCGGGGCGAAGTCCATTCATTCGCGATCTCGCCGCACCTTTCACACTGCACTAGCACTTTCACGGCAAGTCCGTAGTCCCGATCCCCTCTGACGATCGTAGCCGGTCCGTGGCAGGCTTTGCAACACAAGGCACCCATTATCGCGTTTAGGATATCTAGATGCATAAGCAGATAAGGAGCAGCGTGGTCCGAGTCCTGTGCGGTTGCCTCGCTACAACTCGCGGTGAAAAAGTCAATTTTCCGTGCAGTTGCTGGCGCCAATGAAAGCCGGTCGAGCGTCGCTTTCTCCCGGTCATGATTTTCTTCAACTTCGGCGTTTGTCACCACCTTGGCGTCGATTCGTAGTCGTCCGGAGTTCGCTTCACCGTCATCGTCGTCGGAGGCAACGCGCTCGGTCGCACCATCGCTGAACGGCCGCGGAGCGTCGACACATCGTTCGTCGGAGTCAACCAAGGGCTCTGATGACTTCGTAGACTTTCTCCCACGACCTTTGCGTTTCCTGCGACCAAATGCGTGCACGGTCCGATACTTTTTTGCGTTTCCAGGCATGGCGATACCATCAGAAGCTTCAGAGTGCTCTGCCGATTTCGAGGCGTCACAGCGGTAACCCTTTCAAAATGGCGTCGGGTCGCGTATGCAGGCGCAAGCCGCGAGCTTCCAGCCAACCGGGAAGCGCCATTTCAGTCACGTGCGCCGTTTAGCCAATGGCAGTGAGCGCGGCTCTTCGTCTTTGAGGCCCCGTTTTTCGAGCCGGGGAAACGCTCAATGTTGCTTACTGAATAAAAAAAAAACAGCTGAAAACGCGTTCTTTCAAACAAGACCAAAATGGCGCCGATCGAGCACGTAGTTCCCGCGTATCGTAGAGCCGAAACCTGCGCTATTCGCCCTCAATTTAAAGGGCAGGACGCCCGTTTTCGGTTTTTTAAAGTTGAATAACGATAAAAGTTGATGGTATTCGGCTATGAAATTTTGTAAATAGGTGCGCAATGATGTCGGGAACGCGAAAAGAAGGTCCGCGAAAACTCGATTTTTTGGCTGATTTTCGGTCCCGAAGTGCCGCGTCCCCCCTTAAGCAGCTTCACAGGAGGTCAGTCTTCATTTTTGATTAATTTGAAATTCTGTAAAATGAACTGCAGCATGCATCTTGCGCTTGATTAATTAACATGTGCTGTTTAATGTCCCAAAACCATCATATGATTATGAGAGATGCCGTAGTGGAGGGCTCCGGAGATTTAGACCACCTGGGGCTCTTTAACCTGCACCCAAATCTGAGCACATGAGCCTACAGCATTTTCACCTCCATAGAAAACGCAGCCGATGCAGCTGGCATTTGATCCCGCGACTTGCTGGTCAGCAGCCGAGTAGTTTAGCCACTAGACCACTGCGCCTGGGCATTGCATCTTACACCAGAACTGGCAATAACTATATTTAGCTAGTAGAAAAAGAGTAAACACAATTTACAAAGAACAGTCATTAAGAAATTTGACTCATGTAATAAATTACATCTAGTGACATTTGCCATTACAGCGCTGAAATTGCATGCTTTGATTTGTTGCCGTTATCAGTTTCTGAAGTGGTGTCCCCCCCCCCCCCCCGTTTTTTTTTTTGTGTATTAGTGCACTTTGCAAGATGTCATCGACATAACCCGTCAAGAAGTTAAAAGTTACTACTGCTCCAAGTAAGTTTTATTGCTTGTCAAAAATGCTGCTTGCTTTCTTTTTTTAGGTACCAATTTCCTGCTTACGCTTATTGCAGGACAGACATTCAAAAGCCCCTAGAGGAAACTTCGACGAGCACAGCATAGCATTAGGTAGTACGTTGCATTGCCAGTAGAGCTTGACATGCCCCACATGTGAAGGAAAAGGCCTTGAGGAAGATTTGCAGCAGTACTTCAATCAGATATACTTGAGCACATTGCTTTCTGGGGCATTGAATATTGTGCTTCGAATTTTTATGTTGCATTCCATTGTATATGTTCCTTGGCACCAGTCTGACCCGGTGACCTCAGTCTTATTAAAGGATTCATATTAAGAGGTGGCTCTGTGACATTTTGACTTAAGTATAAGAATATAAGCGTATCATTACTGAAACCAATAAGCAACAGTATACCGCAGAGTGTGACCAATGTCACCACAAGCTAGTCTGGCCTACTCAATAGTACTCTTTAAGTGTTGAAATTCTAGTCTTAGGTTCCTAAGCATATAGATTTTCGAAACCTATGCTGCTCACATGTAAAAAAAAGGAAAATAACACCACTTCTTCATGCTTCCAGGAGTCTGTTTCTACATTGTTAACTTGCACAATTTTGTGCTGTGATGATGGAAGTAGCTTGCAAATGGCAGTTGTCCTTATGAAGTGTGCAATTTTCCCAAAATGCTTATCAAATTGTAACGTACAATGCATTTAACATAAATTTGGCATATCTTATTTTTCACATTATATATTTTTACCTCTTGTGCGATGTTGTGTTGTGCAAAATGTATATTTTGGTTTGCTTTGAAAGGACTGTTCACTTGTAAACCAACATAAGACCTCCAAATTTACACCCCTTATATTGTAAATGCACATTATTTAGTATAATTATTTTGTAAACCACAGATAATGTGATTTAAGGAAAAAGAAATTTTGGTTGTTTACAAGTGTGACCACTTATTAAACCTCACAACTCTACTTACCCAACAGTCTAGATTATTCAGATCATCTCCACAAAATCAACAAGGCGAGGTTTCTATATTGTACCGTTGATTTTAAGTGGAACTTCAGTGCAAGTGCCTGATGACAGTGCTTCTGCCGATTAAGGTAGACATTATTACTAAATACTAAACATATTGTGTACTTCTTCTATCACCTTGAGATTCCTGCAGTGTCTGCAGTACTGCGAACTCACCTTTTCCTCAGCATCTCCGTTACGTACTTCTTCCCCCGACTTTCTCTTGCCACTGAACGCAAGGATTACCTTGGGGTTGTCGGTCATTGCCGGCAAAAAACGAGTTCGCTTGGAACGTGTTCATGAACTTCTTAAAGAACTAGAGAGTTGTGCATCAAAACGAGATCACAGGTGTGAAATAAAATAATGTTTTGTGTGTACGCACTGCTTTTTTGTGTTTCTTGCATCCGTTTTGGTGCACAGAACTATATTGCCACTGAAAACATTTATCTGATGTATACTTTCCACACAGCATAAGGAAAATAACTTTTTTTAATATATGGAATGCTGGGTGAGAAATGAACAGGTAAGCCTAGGCACTGCATTTTCTTGTGCCTCTTGCCTCTGAAATTCCTAGCTCATTGTGAAAGATGCGGTGCTTGAGCTTGGGAGCAGTTATATACAGAACTAAAGGCCTGAACGAGGCCAAACTTCTGTTTGCAATGCTTTTAAATAATGGCACATTCTAAACATTGAGTGTGTGCTGTTAATTGTACATTGCAGTGCATAAGTAGGCAAAAGTAATAGCGAAATCATTTCGTGACCGAGTTTTATTGTAGGGGTAATTTGCTGTTAAATAGAATTAGCTATAAAGATGCTGCATATGCTACACCATCCGCACCTCTAAAAACGGGAATTTAAGTGAAACCACCGTTAGACTTTAGGTAAGACAGAACAATAGGACGGCATTAAACCACATAAGATCAGTAAGCAGCATTGTGTGAAGAAAATGCAATTCGAGAAGGAAGGAGTGGTATAGCTTTGCCATCGCACTTACCACCACTGCGGCGAAGCTGCCTTTTTCACGTTCAAGAAGAAATACGTGCAACTAGCCATCACCCGCTTGAGGTCGCACACTAGTCAGCACAGAAAGAGTTTGGTGTAGATGATCACACTGTTTAGTGGAAGGTGTAAGACCTTTCCTTGTGACTCGGTGGATTTGGTCAGTTCAAAAACCTAGGACTAGCAGAGCGTTGAACCACGAAAACTAGCATGGAAAGCAGGAGCCCATGTGAAGTGCAGCCGCACACCGTGGGGGGCCCCCTCTTCCGCAATAAGCATTGTGTTTGAAGTCCACCGCTTGTTCTCCTTTACAGTCTTCGCGTCTTTCGTCGATTTCCTCATCCAAATATTATGAAGCAAATCGCACAGCAAGCTGCGTTAGTGATGTCCTGTTTCAAGCATCGTTGTGACAAATGAGCATCTACATCTACAGGTTTTCCCGCTCACTTTAATCCAAGTGCTACCATAAATAATCAGCACGCCATTGAAATAATCTGAACGCCGAGCTATTTAATCCATGTGCCAAACATTTATTCCAAGTGCCAACTCACTCAGGCCGCGTGCCATTGAGTTTAATCCAAGTGCCACCGTGTTTAATCCAAGTGCCACCGTGTTTAATCCAATTGCCAATGACATTAATTCAGGTGCCATTCAGATTAATCCACGCACAAAACCAGAACACGGGGCGTAAAAACGGCAGTGCAATTGAAATGCAGTTCCTACAGTATAAGAGACATTAGTCGAAAGGTAGAATCCATCATTATTATTTGTATTCGCCGATAGTATTCTTGAAAAAAAAATTACTGCCGTGGTTCGCTTAAGCCATGTTTGGAGTGCTTATAAATTGCTATGCGCAAGTTTGTATAATGAGTGCTTGGCCCAGGTGAAATAAATAATGAAAACGAAAAAAAAATGCAGGAACATATTACTGAATACTTTACAATGCAACAAAATTCAGTATCCGTCACTGAAACTCATAATTGGCTTTAATACACACTACAACATTACATGACCAGGACAGGTCATGTAATGCGAACAACACACTATGTTTATTGGAGTGCCGGAACGCATACTAAGAGATTAAAAGCATGGCCGCGGGCAGTGATGGTTCAAAGACCACTACATAATCAAGAAATTAGGAAACCATCGCGCGGCACGCACTGTGAATTAGAGATAATTCCAATATGTTTTTTTTCTATAGTGAACATAAAACGTAAACTGATCATCCTGATGTGGCAATAGAAGTTTTATTTTACATTATTGTACGCTCTTATTTTTTTATTTAAACAAAGTTAAATGTCTCCAATGATACGAACAGTATTGATTGTTCGTTTAGCTTGTTAGTTTTGTGACGTACTTGACGAATGCGATGAAACGAACGCAAAGAAAACAAAATGATAATAACACGCAACTGACCTTGGGCCTAGCTTTCTTTTGTTTGAGTACGTGTTTTTTTTGCGTGGCATTATGCCTCTCATCGCACATTGGAAGCTTGCGGATTCAGTGCAATCACTAAATTATTTGTTCTGTCCCCCCTCTCTATCTCTACACACACACGCGCGCATGCACCCCCCCCATATATATATGTGTGTGTGTGTGTGTATGTGTGTGTGTGTACAAATACATACATATTGCCGCGAACCATGCAGGGGTTTGTTTATTTGTGTTTTGTTTTTTCGGCCTGGCTGCGCCGGCCTGTGCTATCGCCGTTTTCACAGCGTTTCGAACAAACGCTATCGAACTACGCTTCAGGCGTTGTTCGATAGAAACAACGCTTCAAGCGTTGTTTGTTAAAAACGCTGTTCGAACGAACAGCGTTTCTAACAAACGCTATCACGGCGTTCCCGATACAATTCGACTATTCGAGAAACCCTCGTGCGGACGGATATAAATTCCCGCACAGCCGATGCCGCGTCATTCGATCGCCGACGCTCACTAGCGTGCCCGTCGTTTTGCTGGCCGCTGCTTCGCCGCCTGTGTATTTTTTCAGTTGTTAGGGGAGCACAGGTTTGCTCCAATAAACTTGTTTTCCTCATAGACAACTGCGTCGTCCTTTGCTGCGTGACATCTGGTGGAGGTGCGGGGTACATGAACCCTAAGCCATTGCCAAGCCGACAAGCACGCCCAACTCGTGTCAGCCGCCGACAGCAAGGCCTTCAGCCAGAGTTTGGACTGCTCCCGGATAAAAAAAGGAAAGAAGACGTAAAAACCACGATGTTCAACGCAGGCACCATGACCAGAGCTACCAACCCTCCCGTCGTTCTGCAACAACCTCGTGAGCCCCCATCATTCCGAAGATCTCCTGGTGAAGACCCGGAAGAGTGGCTGGAGAAGCTGGAGTGCATCCGCATCTTTAACAGGTGGGATGACGAAGAAACGTTTCGTCATGTCTTCTTCTATTTGGAGGATGCAGCTCGAACGTGGTTTGAGAACCATGAAGGCTCCCTAAGCGACTGGACTGTCTTTAAAAGCGAATTCCTCAAAACATTCGCTACGGTTGTGCGGAAAGAACGAGCCGCCCTTTTGTTGGAGACACGAATGCAACACCCTAACGAAGGTGTTGTACTGTTCGCTGAGGAGATGAAGATGCTGTTCCGGAGAGCTGACCCCGAAATGGCAGAAGAGAAGAAGGTGCGCTTTCTGTTGGGGGGAGTTAAACAAGAGCTCTTCGCTGGACTCATCCGCAACCCCCCTAAGACCGTCGCTGAGTTCTTCACCGAGGCTTCGATGATCGAGAGGACTTTGGATATGCGTTCGCGGCAATGCGATAGACCACTCACCACCCTTTCGGTGAACCCGGTAAACGCCCCTGGATTGGCGACGGAAGACTTGCGGGATACCATCCGCGCCGTCGTTCGCGAGGAACTGAGGAAATTGTTCCCAGCAACGCCGCAGCCCCAAGTAGCCTCCCTCACTGACGTCGTCCGCGAGGAGTTTCAGCAAGCACTGGGGAATTCTACGCCGTCGGAAGCATCTTGCGAACCACAAGCGATGACCTACTCCGCTGCTGCTCGTCGACCCCGACCCGTCCCAACCCGTTATCAAGAGGCCCCGCCGTACCGCCGCCCAATGTCGCCCGCCCGACCACCTGTAACCCGAAACCAGGCGCCCAGGAAGACCGAGGTGTGGCGAACGCTAGATAATCGTCCGCTGTGCTACCACTGCGGAGAGGCCGACCACGTCTACCGCTGCTGCCCGTACAAGAGGCTGGGTTTGCGTGGGTTCTCCGTCGACGCACCCCGCCCGCGAGCCGGCCAGCGCCCATTTGAGATCGAAGAATACCTGTCTAACACCAGCCGTGGACCATCCCGTTTCAACCGTTCGCCGTCGCCTTACCCGTACCAATCCCCCAACCGTCGCAGCCATGCTGACTTCGCCCGTGGAAGGTCCCCCAGCCCACGAGGGGGAAACTAAAAGCAGCAACTTCTGGAGGGGAAGTTGCACAACGGCGAGAAAATGAAAACCCTCCAACGACGCAAGACCGTGACTCACGACATGCCCTCATCCCGACGACCCGACGACACCCTGACGAGACCCCCGAAAACGATGACAGCTACGCTGTGCAACGCGTACCCGAAATGACGAAGCCTGCCGCTGAGAAGACGACGATGACGACGCATAGTGCCCGACCATCAGCACGTGCAAGCCGCGATACGACGCCCCGACGCACCCGAAATTCGAGGAAAGCGGCATCCGACGTCCAGTTGTCCATTGACGGCCTTGACGTAGTTGCCTTAATCGACACGGCAGCCGACTACTCGGTGATGAGCGGGTCATTCGCGTCCAAGCTAAAGAAAGTTACGACCAGATGGGACGGTCCCCACATACGCACAGCAGGAGGCCACCTCGTGACCCCAAATGGAATGTACACATCGCGCGTCACCATAGACGGCACTACGCCCCCTTCGGAGTTCGTCATTTTGCCTAACTGCTCCCGCGACGTAATTCTCGGAATGGACTTTTTGACGGACAATGGCGCAATAATTGATCTGCAGACCAGGTTGATAACGTTTTCTTCCGATCACTCCACGACGCCGCAGCCGAACCTCGGACACCGTGCTGCTGTAAGGATCGCCGACGATAACGTCACCCTGCCACCCCGCGCAAGCTTGATGATCGCCGTCTATTGTGAAGGTGCTGCTCCTGACGTCGACGCTATCGTGGAGACTGACCAAAGGTTGCTTCTAGACCGCGGTGTGTCTGTCGCAAGAGGCATTGCGCGGTTTAAGCAACGCAGATCACACGTTTTGGTCACCAATTTCACCGAGGAGTACCAGCATCTAAACAAGGGCGCTGCAATTGCGTTCCTCGAAGAAACGCAAGAAGCTAGTCAAGTGATCGCGGTCGCCACCTTTGAACGCGCACGCGCAGATGC